ATTTTAATACTGAACGTTTATTGGCTGAAAGTTACGAGGCAACCTACTTTCTCTAATAACCTTGGATTATATATACTTTTAATTAGTTTTCATCAGTTGGCATTGAAAATTGTATCGTGTGTTTGCATATATAAATTAAAGGTTTAATTTGTAAAGTTTAGGGTGAAATTATATCACTTTGCAGATCGGTAACGAAGCGTTTGCGGTCCTATACGAACTTTAGGTCTCTTGCGCACGGTACGCTATTCTAATTCTGTCGGTCCGATTTTATTGCTTTTGTCGTAGACTCTAATCATACACACATTTAAATGGAACAATACACACGATCCGACTAGAGTCGGTCTGGACCTATCAAACGGCCCGGGCGAGTTTGTTAAACCCTTTCTCTAAGGTTAAACCGGCCCTCTACCTCACCAGACCTACCAATATAAGGGAAAAAATACATTTTTTGATTCAAACTTAAAAGTAATCTTCTCGGTTGTGACACTGCCGACTTGTTGAGGCTCAAGACCGCGGCCCCGAGGCTCGATTTAGCACCGGCTCTGGATCCGACGTTCTGTCGTGTGCGACTTTTGTAGGCGTGGTGGTCGCATATAGAGTACTCTATATTCTGTGGTCGATCTGCGCTATACGACTGCCGTGTAGTGTAAACAAAGAGAGCAACATTTAATCCGAGATGGAATACCATAGATAGGAGCTTACGCAAGGCACGGTAAAAATCGTGTCGACCAACAAAATTACGTAAGTACTTTAGTTTGTGGGAAGTTTTGCACCATGACGAACAATTTATTATGCAGAACTGTTAATTCACGCAGTTCAAGGAAAGGTCGTGTAATGGTCGTAGACGGACACTGAAAACGTTCACTTACACTATACTTACCGTTGGCAACTCTGGGAAAAAACTACAAGCAGAGCCATCTACCTTTCAAGTCGAAACGGGACGTTTCGCGGCACTTTTGAATTTGGATGGCAGTCGGCTCGATATGGATGGCCCGAATGAACTCCTACGTTGTGTAATCGGTTCTTTATATGTTGGGACGTGAGACATCATCGGGAAGGGAATTAAACAAAAGACAGAGAACTTTTGTGCGTAAGAAATGACAAAAACAAATAAATATATTAAAGCACATAACAAGACCATGCTAGGGAAACCTTCTACGGGACAAAAACCCCGGCATAGGGCACACAAATAAATGAAATAAATCACCTACACTACAGCAATAAAATGCAAGAGAAAATACACATAAATAAAATATCTCAAATTGTATGATAAAAATCAGATAATCAAATCAAATGCAATTAAACAAGTTCATAGAAACAAAATACACAAGACCTCAATCAAGTCAGTCAATTCAGTACAAAAACACATCAAAATACCTGTACGATCCATTGAGCTAACACAACTCGTAAAATAATAAATTGCATGTACATAGGAAACATGTAAATGGTGTGGCTCTACTCCAGCCTTCATTAACATAATTTTACTTAACACGAAAAGTACATGTGAGAACTCCACTAGCAAGTATTCATGTGAAAGTCGATCATTGCTCAAGCAGAACATATTTTAAATAGAGGAAATGTTAATGAGAGGACCTCTAAATATCTCGCATTGCTAAGATGCTAAGAACTGCAATCCGCACGAGACGAGTAGGCAACAGATACAGCGAAAGGTCGAACTGTATTAGGTACCTACCTACTCCACAGAGACATTTCGTAAAGCTAACGCACAAGAACTGCAGCGCGCCACGAATCAGAAAGTAACAGATACAGCGAACAATCAAACGGTATTAGGTACTTCCCTCACGGAATAGTTACGAATCAATCGAACAGAGCAACATCGCCCTGATAATCAACTCCTCGTGAATACAGAAATAAATACTTAATAAAACAAAATAATGGTATACATCCTGTACAGTATAACAAACAAACATGATTCAGATAACTGTACTCAAAACAAAGGCATGGAGTACGCCATGATTCAGATATCGTAGTTTATGCAAAATCAGTAAAATGTAAATAATTTTGGCAAGAAATTGAATTATTAATAGCTAGTACATACAAGAAAGAATAAAATAGTTACTACCTGTAAATACACCTTCACAACACCACAATCAAAATAATCAAGAATAAAAACCGGGAACGAGTGATTCCTTCCGTCGACCCCGTCGCCATCTTCTCTCTTCCGCCACGTTTTTTTCCTATAATCATATATATAAGAGAAGTATATGGATAACCGCCTATAATTGCAATGTGCAAATTGTTCGCCATAAAAGAGAGCTGCCCTATTCCTTAGTCCTCAACTCTGTATTTATGCGCAAACTCCCCAAGTAAATATTTACTTCTCTCCGCCTACTTTTAAGTAGCGCCAATTTCAAATTTCATAACCTATAACTCGAAAATAGGGTTAAAATTTTATTAAACCATCATTGTGTGCAATTACCATATGTAAACACAACCACGCACCATTCGGAAACTTCACCGAGACTTCTATTCACTTCATGCAGGTTCATATTCACTATATTGGCCCCATTCCACCTGCCGACTCCTATCACTATTGTCTGATCCTGTGATGTCTTTAGATAAGTATACTAGCTGGCCGAGGCCCACCCTCCCAAGACCAATCGCCGCCGAAGCGTTTCTTACCTCTGTTGACTATATCGCTTCGATTCCCCTACTAGCATCTTCACCGATCAGCGACGACAATTTGAATCTTCCCTTTTTTGTGCCCTCAACATTGTTTTCGGCACACAAGGATTCGGGACCTGCAGTCAATGGCCTACGTGAATGATTTCACTGCCAACTCAAATCAGCGCTCACATGCCACCCAGTGCGTTCTGGTTCAAGGTACTCCGTACCGTTCTGCTTGGAAACTGTAGCATTTTCACGGAGAACTTTCGAGCTTCCTCAGCTGAGTTTGTTTACGGTTACACCCTTCAACTTCGAAGGCAAACTTTGTAACGATTTAGAAACTTAAATTGCAATTGAAATAATATACCTATAGGGATTATATCTTGAATATAACTTGAAATTGGATAAGTTCGCATCAGCTAATAATATAAAGTGATACATTACCAATGTTCAAAGAAACACAATTAAATTAAAGACATTTACTGATTTTAAAATAAAATTAACATTGTCGAGTTGGAAATCTTTTAGGTTTTAAGTGACCCCCATATAACTTCGTGCCCCCATCATGCTTGCGTGCATCCAAATCAATGCAGTCATAGCAGTTAAAATGACGAGAACACAACCTTGTTTTTACATCATCGAATTCCGATACTTCACATGCTTGCAGTCACCGATTCTTGTTGCTTTTTTCACTTGGGAATCTAATAACAAGTATGGCATAAATGAATTGATTGCAGATAATTGCATTGTAACTTACTTGTGCCATGAAACCGAAGAATCCACTTTCCCACAAGTACCTGCATTTCTTTATTTCTTAAGTAATGAACACACTAAAATTGCCAAACATTAGGTATTCCTTTACAATTATTGTGTATCACTTACGTATACTGATTTATATAACTACGAAAGGCGTCTTTACTATTAAAATTAAACAAAAGTTCAATAACTCATAAACAAAACAAACAATTTAACCTCAATCCGTTATGTCAAACTGGAGTAAATGCTTGGTAAATAACACTACATCATAACAGGCAAGCGCATTAGCGCCTAGTTCCCAACTAATGACAGAAGTATATTTCCATCCACTAACGTTGGCGATAGGCGTGTCCACTCGTTTATCCATATACTTCTCTTATATATATGCCTATAATAGCTTCGTTACGAAAATCCCCTAGTATTCGGCATCTGCGCAAAACGGTCGATTGGTTATATACAGAGCATATCATATTTTTGTTTCAGATGTAAATGTGTGTTGCCTAACCATAAGGGTTGATTATCATTGATCACAGTTGTATTATGGGACAAAACTATAGCCGACTACAAAAATCGGAATTCTATTGTTCATGACGCTTCACCCTGTATAATAGTTTTACTCTGTGTCGTGAAACAAGTCCTATGTACCTGGTTCTGGATTCAATATACGGTCATTGACAAAAGTAATGATTGCCTAATAAATAGGGAAACTTTGCAGCATGATCAACTAAATTATCTATCACATCGGGTTCCGTCGGGTTCTTCATTGAAGAGGTATGTACCTTAATTTGTTGGTTCGCATTTGTTGCACTATATATTGAAATGTTGGTTATGTATGCTGCAGGGTTTACCTATTCGGCGATCATTACCTTTGTCAATGACGTACTTACCAAAATCATTTTCCATTGTCGTTCCCGAAACATCACCACAGCTTACTTTTAGAGAAGGAAAGAGAGAGAGAGGAGTGATAATAATGATCGTATAATGAAGCCAAGTTAGTTTGTTTGGTCACCCAAACCATGACCGCTTAAAGTTCATTGGCGTAAGGTTTCATATTTTTCCCATAGATACTACCATTGTTTGAAATGTAATGTGTGTTGGCTAACCATAGGTTATGTCACGAAAACATTGAAGGTCATGACATGCATCTACGTGTCAATTTTAAGCTCAAAAGCGCCTTTAGACTAGCCAGAAAACTCACGCGATTTACTGTCGGACACTACTGTCGTAAGTGTATATAGCATTGCGAGTCCATTTGACAGAACTCGTGGAACAATTCTCGCGACACTTTTCTTGCCAGTCTAAACAGGCAAAAGTGCAGCTCACCAAATACTCGCAAACTTTCCATTTCGTTTCGATATTTCGGCGAGGAAACGTGCAAATTTTATTAGTACCCTGCTTTTTACTTTTGCGATAGCAATGGCTCACCTAACTTGCCTGACAGTTTATCACGACACTTATAACAAAGAGTATTTTACTCTTTGCTTATAATTGTTCATACTAGTATAAATACATGTGGAAGTCGCTGGCGCAAGATTGTCGCAAGTAATTTGCTAGTATACCTGCGCCTTTGCAGCAGTTCGTTGAATGCGTTCTAATCACGATAGTTAAGTCACCAACAGATGGTGACAGTTGACACAAAATAACTGTCATTTTCAAACTTTAAAAAACGGTTATTCTACATCTGCCACCTAGACCTACATTCGCTAAATGCAAAATGATTTCAAGCACAGGTTTTCGAATTGCATTTGAGCAAGAAAGTCGGTAACCCTGTTTGTAGTTTCATGTACGTCTAATTTGTTGTTTTTAGATAAAGTGACAGCGAGCAGAAAAGCAAATTTACAAAAATCGACCCGAAAACCACTATGTGATAGAGCTATCAATCACACTCCGCAACCTAACGGAAAGGTAACGTCTCTTAAAGCTTCGACAAATGTACAACAAAAAGAAGTCATCGTGCAAAAACCGAAAGAGCCCAAAACCTACCCAGAATGGTTCTCCGATGTATGTTCTTTTAAAGGACTAGAAAGTATAAGTTGATTGCTGATTTAATAAGATGCACTAAACTTACTCTAGCAGGATATGACGACATCGACATTCAATTGGAGCCACAAACAATCGATGTACCACATTTATTAAACTTTATGCTCAATCCGAAAACACCACCAATTAAGGCTAAGGAGTTTATTCCGCAGCTGCATTCGCCTGTAACAATTGATGTTAATTATGACGACGATAACTTTCCAGAAATTCCAATTGAGGACATTGAGATTCCAGAATGTTCTTTTTGACTTTAGTGTTTTTTGTAAATTATTCATTTCTGTTATGTAAGCGTGTTATTAATAAATATAGTAGCGAGACATTAATGTGAAGTTTTTTCTATTTTTAATTGTGGTAGGCTGGTAGGGATTAAGAATTTGAAGTACAATATACTTGTAATGCAATTGGACTGGAACTGAAACACAGCAGACACCTTGTTTACTCTTGTGCGGGTGACTCCGAAAAAATGCTTAAGGCACTCGTATAAAGTATACTTCCTTTGAACAAGATTTTTCTAATTTTCTCGAAAAGGAATTGACCCATTTAAAAAATCAAATGTTGAAATAAAGGACTTCGAAAGATCTTTCAAACAAGGTATTACTTGATGCCACTTGTTATTTATAATTTTTAAGGGAATGGATGGCCCGGGGAGGGGGGCAGGGGGTGACGTAGTTTTTGGTTAAAAGTTGTCCCCTTTGACAAATCTTTTGACATGTCTCGCCATATTTTCCTTTAATTAGTAGTTTTTGATAAATCCGTGGTGGGAAGTTTTCAAATGAACACCCTGTATAACATTGTTCTGTATAGGGTGAGTCAACGATTGCGTGGAGTAACTTAATGCCTTGAAGATAAGATTTTTCGATAGAGTGCTTTTGTATTATGATATGGTTGAATATTCTCCACATTTTAAGAATATTTGGAATTATACAGAGTGCACCCACAAAGTAGGGCGCCCAAATGGTACATTTTTTTGAATAGAACCCCCTGTATTTGAATGCATTTTTGAATTCTACGTGTAACTGTTCGTTTTTTTTATTATATGGTTAATATCCGAAAAACTGGTAGTTTTAAAGATAATTCGATTTGTAAAAAAAATTGGGCATTTGCAAGCGTCAGTATATTGTCAAAATTATTACTTAAATTTTGATTCCAGGTTTTATATCTTTTATCCTGGGTTAAGTAAAAGTCAAATAAATACATCTACCATGAAACATTAAAAAAATAGCATTCAAATACAGGGGGTTCTATTTAAAAAAATGTACCATTTTGGCGCCCTCCTTTGTGGGCGCACCTTGTATAATTCCAAATATTTTTAAAATGTGGAGAATATCCAACCATATCATAATACAAAAGCACTCTATTGAAAAATTTTATCTTCATGCTATTAAGTTACTCCGCGCAATCGTTGACTCACCCTGTACATGTGTTTGTAACGGAACTCCTCCTATAGATCGTCTCACGTAAGAAAGGAATCGGGAGAAAGTAGTGTAACCTCCCACTAAGTTTATTGTGGGTGGTTCCAACGGCCCGAATAATTACCAGTTTTATACCTATCTTTATTCAAAGCACAGCGACATTGAGATGAACAATAAACTTAGTGGGAGGTTACACTACTTTCTCCCGATTCCTTTTTTACGTGAGACGATCTATAAACGGCTGCACGGAGTTTAATGTGTCTCTGTGTGTCCCCGGATAGTTTAGATTCATAATTGGGTCTGATCAGATTTTGTTTTTCAAAACGTCTTTTTTGGTTGATGTTGCACTCTGCTATTTCACATACCGATTGATACATGCACAATGTCACTTGTCTCGTACCATGACGATGTGTTCACTTTTACTTTGTCTGTATGTTGGGTTTCATACATCTGTCAATATCGAGTGTACGAAGTCGCGGGGGGAAAATCTACTTATAAGTAAAATGCCAACACCAGGTGGCGCAGTTTCAAACGGTGTTTGGCTTACTACAGCACAAAAGCTTTACTACCAATAGCAATTAAAAAAACGATATTAAAATATATGGTTTTATTAAACAAAAACCTACTGATCTTGACTCGCAACAAAAAATGCATATAAAGGCACACTGCTCATAACACATTTCTCCCAAATAACAACAAAAATTCAGTCTTCATTTTGTGTGGCATTGTCTGTAATTAGTGTATGCAATCGATCGTTATAGAGTCTTTTTGCATAACTTAGTTGTTGCGACACAGAATGTGCAAGTTCCATCGAGTCGCACCGTATTCTTGGCCTTTTTATTGGATCTGTATGGGCAAACTGAGCGGTGGCACTAGACACCCGCATCGTTATGTCAATATAGTGTCTTATTTCCGAACCCTCTGTCAGCGTTACTGGTTGGCATTGTAATACGTCACTGAGAGAAAAAATTAAAAATTGACAAAGTGGGTGTGGTCATACCTTATGTGAACCTCTAGAAAAGTGGTAGGGGAACTATTTTTGGTGCCAGTCACAATGCGAACGTGCTCGTTCGAAATAATTATTCGAAGATCTTCGGAACCACTTCGCAGGGACTCGTACGCGACCAGTTGTTCTGTGTAGTTCCTGAAATCCAAGCTTTTTGGTTAGTGGGTTTTTTAGAGGACTTTTTAGATAATTAACTGTGTGTAGATTGTCATCTCTACTACATTGACTTCTTCAAATGTACGACAAATGTATACAAACCTTTTGTTAACAGTGTACAAATGTTGCTGTCCGTGACTTTGCTTATAACTATAACAAGGAAGTAAACCCCCCGCGCCGACAACGCACCGTGGTGGTCTAATCTTATCAGGTACTATACGATTTGAACTGCAATGAGTGTGAGAATTATTGATCGAAACATTCCAAATGCTTACCTTCGACTAGAATCCCGTACAGCTCTTGCGGTTTCCGATGCCAAATCTAGGACGCCGACAACCGGCTTAGTAACCGCACCAACAATACCTTTGCCAAATCCCGAGAATACGCCTTGGATACCTTCATTTGCTGCACCTTCGTAAACTTGCTTAAAAATTCCTGTGGCGCCACCTAGTATTCCAAGCCCGAGACCCTTAAATCCGGCGACAATGTGATCGCCCGTCCGTCCGCTATCCACCTGTCTAATTCTTTGGCGTATCTCCTCGTGCTCGTCATCCATGGCGACTTTACCTAAACCGTCAGAGAGACTTTCCGTCACCTTGGCAGCAGAATTTGAAAGTCCATGCGTTACGTTCTTTACCAGCGCTCCGACCGAGTGCTCGTAGATCAACCCCGACATGCCTTCCGACACGTCGTTTATAAAGCCAATGGGATTGCCGAGAAAGTCGGTCGATCCCAATATAATTCCCGCTTGCCATAGCAGCTCGTCTTTGAAGTGTTTTATGATGAAGCGAGACAGTATTTGACTAGTTTCGAAAATGTGCTGTTTTATGAAAGGTTCGAGTTCAACGGCGGCGTCTTCAAACTTTATAAACGTAAAGCCCAACTTGCGCTTAATTATTTGCAATTGAGGTGGTAGTTTGTTGGCCGTGGTCATACTTAGCCGAATTTGATCCAAGTTTAATTGAATTATTCCAAAATAGTACCTGTGAATTGAATCATTTATAAAGGTGCGTTTAGACTAAAAAAAAATTACCTGGTGGAATGCGTCGCAGATACTTCCATTAATAATCGTTGCGTCTCAGAGTCGCTCTTTTCAATGTTGCTCCACATTTCGTCACCTTTGGCCCCAGTTTTTAGAAAAGCACACAGTTTTAATAGCATCTTTTCCTCCAAATTAACTGTTAATTTCTTTAGGCGAACCATTAAATGCTAAAAAATTAGTTTAGATTACTTGCAAAGTGCCCATTTTGCGCCCATATCCTATTGATTAGTTTTTAATTTTTAACTTTGGTGTCGTTTAGCGAAACTGTTTTTTGGTTTTCTTATGCCCCACAAAGTGTCGTACAATAGCCTCAAACCTTTCATAAAAAGATGTATTTTTGAAATCCCCATGGCCAAATCCCATCGGAAAAGCGAGGATCCTTGACAATTTTTTTCTTCGGTTTTTGTAGGCTGAGGCTGAGGATGTTTTTTTTCGCGCAAAATTCGCGAGGCCTGTGATATGTATTTGAAGTTAGCGTTCAACGTACGTTATTGCACTTGCCTGATTTTCAGACAATCAGAGATTGGAGTAGTACGTTGAACGCTAATTTCAAGGCCTCAGGATCCTTCGCTAAAAAATACATTGCCATTTCCCTATGGTGCAATTGTTTTGAATTTTTAAGAGCTATTTATGTTTTTGGGAATATCACTTATATAAAGTGACTTTTTTTGAACATTTCGATTCAAATCATCGGAGTTCGATATTTCACAATCGTGAATGATAGTGATCGTAGGAAAAAAGGTTATTTAGAGACGTCAAATCCCTGTCAAACAACTGCCGATTTTTAGTTTCGTTTTTTAAGTCATACGCTCTGCTCCGGCGGCACGCCGCCTCGCTTCCCTCCGATCTGATAGATGTTTGTTAGTTGCTCAGCTTCACCTAGCCCTATTTATTCATTACACCACATTTTAAAAAGCGTAATTGCTCCACAAATAGGAAAATTACATGTTGCGCATGCGCAGTATGATTTTTGGCGTAGGCATGTTGTTTGCTTTTATTAGAGGGACACATAATACAAATTTCGTTCAGACGGCTCCATTAAAATTACGCATGCGCAGTACGATTTTTGGCGAGTGCATTTTGTTTGATTTTATTAGAGAAGCCTACCATAAAAATGTAGTTCAAATTACTCCAGAAATATGAAAGGCAATAAGCATTGCGCATGCGCAGATTGGTTTTTTGGCACGCACATGCGATTACATTCTAGAACGTGCTAAGCCATATAGGAAACAATCGTAAAAAAACCGCATCATTCTAGTCCTCGGCGTTTCCGAAATTAAGCCAAAATATGGAAAAAGTAGAACTTTTGGCAATTTGAGGGCGGGCTTTAATAGAAAACCCGAGTGTAGATGCCACCTAGTCTCCCGCTTGTATAGGACCGTTGACACATCCCTCGACCGGCCTCGCACATTTATGCAAATTTGCCGTCGACTCTAAAATGCGGCCGGTCGATATGTGTTACCAACTTAAAAAAAGCTTCAATGTCTTCTAGCACTCGTCGTTTTTCGATAAACACCCAAATACAAATAGGTTAGTCAAAATAGGTGGTTAAGGTAGAAAAAATTAGTAACAAAGTGATCTCGCGGAAATGAGTACCCAATAGGGTCCTTTATTAACCCCTCAAAAATCGCACTTTGTCGCATTGGTGGAACTTGGAAAAAAATGGCTGCCATCTTGATTTTTTTCGAATTTATTAAATATTTCATAAAGTATACATTATATCAAAAAAACTCAAGAGACATTCAATTATTTGGTTCCCTCTACTTACCTGCTACATTAAATATATCCAAATAATTCACATGGAGCAATACATCAATAAAAAAAAAAAAGATTCATGATATTAATGTGCTGTTTGGCAGCTTCTTCGGTTGGTGGTAGTGAGGCTAAACACAATTCTGAATTTAAGCTTTGACGTAACTGGTTAATATCATGAATCTTCTTTGGAAACCGGTACAGATTTAAAATAATTTTAAGTCCTGATTTAATTAAAACTGCTATATCTGCATTAAGTTCCTGAAATGCATCTAAGTCTCGACACAGATGTGATAATTACCCAAATCATATATTGTATTATAGGTAACTTTTGATTCTCCATAAAAGTCTCTTGAGTTTTTTTGATATAATATATACTTTACGAAATATTTAATAAATTCGAAAAAAATCAAGATGGCGGCCATTTTTTTCCAAGTTCCACCAATGCGACAAAGTGCGATTTTTGAGGGGTTAATAAGGACCCTATTGAGTACTCATTTCCGCGGAGATCACTTTGTTACTAATTTTTTCTACCCCACCTGCCTAAAAAAAAGAGTGTCATTTATTGGTAGTTGAGGGGGGGAGGGGTCGATGATTCGGAGGGTACCAATATGAGACAAATGTAAAAAACTGCATCGCTCTAGCTTCCTGGGTTTCCGAATGAACGCAAAAATACGATAAAAAGTCATTTAGAAGCAGGGGGGGGGGGGGATTGTGGAGGCCGGAGGGTATAAATACGAGACAATCCTCGAGACAATCGTTTAGAACAATCGTTCTAGCTCTGTTTTGTTTCGAATAAACATGCAAAACGACAAAATGTATTCGTTTAGTGGTTAGGTTAGCTGAGGGTGTGGGGGGGGGGGGGGGGGGGAGAGGGCGAAATGACGCAAAAACTTACGCTCTCCGATGTCTCGACTAAATACTTTTTACCGACGTGAGAGGTTCCACCCTGTATATAGAAGTTACACATTTTTGAGAGTTGGCAACCATGCAATTTCTAGGTGGTAAAAAAAGCTGCCTGCGCCATCTAAAAAACACGAATACGAACGGGTTACGTTTGGCATCTTGTCTTGAATGGCGGTCGTGACCGCGCCGCTCCATAAATGTTTGCTGCTATTTTGTGTTATTTAATGCAGATAGTAATTTTTGCATTTCTTTATATCGTATTTGTGTTTTGTATGCCACCTTTTATATTTTGTGTGTGTTTGAATCTTTGTTTTTGAAATCTACTTGGTTTAACCGCAATGCAGAATGACAAATGTGATACCGTTATGCTATTGTTTGTAATTGTTTACGTTTTTGGTGTAATGCTTACTCAATTTATGTTTATTGATATTGATTCCTTGGTCTTGTCCCTGAAGTAACATTCATATCAGTTTTAATCAGTTTATTTTAATATGTGGAAATTACCGATTCGTTTGATGTATATACTGACTTGTTGTTTGTAACTAACAATTTTCTCCGTGAATGAAGCAGTCACGGGGGTAATAAAAACTGTAGTCAACATTGAGCTACGACACCTAATTCAGTGATTGTCTTCGACATTCAACTGTAGGCTCGAAACCTCGAACGAGGGGCAAGGCTACCTATCTTGCGGGGGCGAGATTATGCTAATCAAAACTCTTCAGTTTTGAATATATCTGCAATAAATGAGTTACGATTTGTAATTTCCACATATTTCGTTTTTAGTTAAATTTGCCTACAAGGCTATGTAATTTTCCATCTTGCTTTTAACAAAAGGACTTTATTACACCAAATATGAGTCACATCCTGTGTATTTCACCCTTTCTTACAATCTTGGTACTTGCTTACTTGACCCATAATTCCCAAAACTTGTTTTTAACCTAAATGTTACCTCTTGTTTGGTCTCTATAGTTTCTATTAATAATAGTTTCAAAAATTTATTTATTATTATTTATAATATTTGTTTGAGGTCTGCATGCTACTTTTTGTGTTGTTATAATTTTATGTTACGCATTCACATCATTACAAAACAATTAATTTTACTACACAATTTAATATTAGTTTGACGGCTGGTTTTTTTATTGGTAAGTTCTTTTTTCCCAGCCTATTTCTATTTTAACCGGTGAACTACCATTTTCAAAGTTTATTTTTGCAATGTAATTTATTTCGACTGAAATTTCCGAGCTTTTACAATCATAATAATTACAATCATTATTAAACAAACTTTTCACAATTTCAGTGTTTTATTTAACGTTCCTTCCCTACTGTGCTTCAGGTCATAGCGTTGTTTACAACTAACGTAAGGGGGGTCCTGCCTTAGATGTTTGATCAAGTGCCACTTTTCAAATTTAAGCGGGATCTTGTTTATTGGAAGTCATTCGGGTGGCCATTTTTAAACGTTGCCGGGTTGACTTTATTTCCGTGTTCTTGTAGTGTGAAGTTGGCGTAGAACCTGGGGGTTAAGTACACTACAGGCGATTATTCAGTAACTTCATATTTCGTCCACTTTTCGTTCGAAAATTTCCCCAACTTTCTCTCTTAGTCGAAGGGAGGCGGGTGGTACGCCGTCATTTGGGGGACGTTTTGAGCCGCATTCCAACAATAGTTTTAC